GCGCCACGGCCCCGAGAGGAGGCGTTTGAGGTGCTGAACGAGGTGGTGCTGTCGCGCGGCGCCAACCCCTACCTCTCCAAGATCGAGGTGGGGGGGGGGCGCGCGGCCCGCCTTGCGGGGGGGGTTCCGTGGCGGCCGTGCGCCCGCCGTGCGCCCGCCGTGCGCCTCCCAGCCACCCCCTGCCGCCTCCCGTGGCCGTACATTGCCACCACCGCACCCTGTGGACCATGCCACCCACCCACCACCGCACCCCGCCACCCGCCCACCCCTGGCCGCCCTCCCCTGGCCGCCCCCCGCAGGTGTCTGAGGCGGGGCGGCTGATCACCAAGGTGCAGGCGGACGGCGTGATGCTGGCCACCCCCACCGGCTCCACCGCCTACAACGTGGCGGCGGGGGGCTCCATGGTGCACCCCTCGGTGCCCGCCATCCTCTTCACCCCCATCTGCCCCCACTCACTCAACTTCCGGTGCGCGCCCGGCACAGCCATGTGTTCGGCTGGAGGCAGGGCTGTGTGGGCGTGGTGGGTGGTTGGGTGTGAGTGTGGGTGTGAGCGTCCCAGGGAAAGCCCATCCCGCGAGTCAGCCTGCCCCTCGTTACCCTCCACCCGCGAGGAGTGGCTGGCGCAGCCCAACCATCCTGCTCCCACAACCCCTTGCCTCTCGCTGCGCTCTCGATCCCCTGCACCCTGGCCCGTGGGCCACCACGCGCCCTTGCCTGGCCTGGCCGCGTCCCGCCCCATGCCCCCCCACCTTCCCCACCTTCCCTCCCATGCAGCCCCGTCATCCTGCCCGACTATGCCGAGCTGGACCTGCGCATCGCCGACGACGCGCGCTGCTCCGCGGTCGTGTGCTTCGACGGCCGCGACTCTCGGGAGCTGGCGCGCGGCGACTCCATCAAAGTGCGCATGAGCCCCAACCCTGTGCCCACCATCAACAACGCGGACCAGGTGCGGGGCGGGGGCATGCATGGCCGGGGGAGGCGCCGTTCCCGCGGGGAGGGGCGTGCCGGGAGGCCGGGAGGCCAGGCTGGGTGCATCGATCAGTCCCAGCAGGTGCCACCGTGGCGCTGCCGTGCCCACCTGCCAAACACAGCGACACACCGCCGTCCCCGCCCCGCCTGCCCGCCCGTCCGCCGCAGACCACCGACTGGTTTGCGTCCATCCAGCGCTGCTTCCACTGGAGCGAGCGCATCGAGCAGCTGCCCATCAACGGCCAGCTGCTGGCGGCGCGGGAGCAGGAGCTGAGCGCCATGAGCAGCGGCCTGGCGAGCGTGGGTTCGTCAATGGACAGCACCGAGGCGTGAGGGAGGGGCCCCGCCGCGGCCCCACGCCGTGCCTGCCAGCCCAGCCCCGCCCACAGCCAGCCTGGCTGGCTCGGAGGGCCGGCCAGCGGAGCGCGGCAGCTGGCGGCCCCTGTCCTGCCTGAGCTACCCAGCTGGCCTGCCTGAGCTACCCAGCTGGCCGCCTCGACTTGTGTCCCGCACCCCAGCTGCCGCTTTACGGCCCCTACGAATGATGCCCAACCACGTCGCCGCCTCGCCTGGCCCCGCCTCCCCTGGGAGCGGGCGTTGAATGCATGAGCCCAACCCTCACCCCTTTTCCCTCCTCCATCTGCCCCAGAACCAAACCAATTCGAATTCAGTGCCGGGAGGTGTGCCGCGCGCCTTGAGGGCGCCGCCGCTTCCCATCTCTCCGAGTTTTGCAACACACATGTATTGAACTCCCCACCACTGTCCTGCCGTCCCCCCTCTCCCGCCCGTTTGCCGGCGGGGGCTGTTGCCGCCATACAGACGGCCAATTCTTTTCCTCCCACCGCCGCCCGTGGGGGGGCGTTGTGCTCGGCACCGCGGATTTTACGCATGTTGCCGCTGCAGCACTGAGCCTTTCCCCCAATTCATTCAAGCTATGGGCCGATACAGTCCCCAGACTGAACCGCACCCACTGTACTGTACGGTATGGTACTGCTGCATGCACCGGTACGGTGCTGCACACGCCGCAGAGTTTTATTGAGAATGTAATTTGATGCGTGACGGCTCCTGGCCTTGGCGGCCTGCCCACAATGGCGCACACTCCGGGCAGGATGGTGGCACTGCTGCTGGAGTTCCTTACAGCGAGCAGTTCAGTACCGCGGTCAGAAGGGAAGACGCGTGCAGCGGCCGCACGGCGCGCATCCGCTGCACAAGAATAATCAGATGTGTGTAGGCCTGAGGGGGCGGGGGCATCCCCTGCCTGCCTGGTCATTTCAGCAGGCTCCGCGCCCCCTGCCTGCCTCGTCACTTGAGCAGGCTCCGCGCCACCTGCTCCTTGATGGACCCAAAGGCTTGCGACAGCGTCACCAGCCCGGGGTTCTGCAGGGCGCGGCGCGGCGGGGCGGTCGGTGGCAGGCCGCAGGCGCGCACAGACAGCTGGCGAGGCCTCCAGGCCCATCACAGGGCAAACGCAGCAGCGGCAGAGGCAACACAGCTCCGGCCCGCCCGCCTGCCAGCCATCTGTATGCCAGGCAGGCAGCCTGCTGGTAGGGCTGGCCCCAGCTCACGTTGGCCGCCACCGCCTCCACGCTCATGGGGCTGCCCTCGCCATCCTGGCGCATCGTCACGCGCGTGGCCACCACCCCCGCATCGGTCTCCAGGATGAGGCTGGGGCCAGGGAGGGGCGGGCGGGGCGGGGCGGAGCGAGCACGTGAGCGGCGCGTTCAGGCAGGCAGGCAGGGAGCATCCGGCAGCTCCCAACAGCCTGCCGGCCCTTGAACACGCCAGCATGCCGGCGGCCCAGGCTCCCAGCACAGGGGCAGCAAGCAGCAGCAGCAGCAGGAGCAGTAGCAATGGCAGCAGCACCACGGCCGGCCCGGATCCCGCGGTTTTGTTGGCGCCGCACGCACCCCCCATCCACGATTTCGTCCATGGCCAGCAGCACCAGGTCCAGGTTCTCCAGCACCGTCTTCTTCTCCACAGCATTCCTGCGGGCAGGCAGAGGGGGCGGCGGCAGGTGTGGAGGCGTGCGTGGCACGTGTGCGCGTCGGTGGGCGGGTGGGATGGGGAGGGGAGGGGCTGACAAAGGGTTTTGATGCGCTGCAGCCGCCGCGCACTGGCCCTCGAGGCCCTTCACCACCGCCGCGCACAGCCATGCACACCTGAGCAGCATGTTGATGGATTCGTAGAAGGCTTGCAGCACGCTGTACAGCACCACCTGCGGGCGGGATAGACCGGAGCGGGAGCAGGGTGAGGAGTGCCTGGCAAGCTCAGGGGCGCAGGCAGCGCAGCGCAGCGGCTGATGCTTGGGAAATGAAAGCATGCAAATCATTGGAATGATGCAGGCTTGAAGCAGGTGGCAAGGTGCAGCCAGGCACGCATGCAGGTGGGACGGTCGGAAGCCAAGCGTTCAAGCTGCTTTGGATTTTGGGATCCTCAG